GGTGTTTGGGCCCCTTCTCCGCATCCATCTCCACCTGGTCGTGCTCGCCGGCCACCACGGTGCCGCGCTTGTTCACCCGGTAGTTCTTGTCCATGTACTTGTAGACGAGCAGCCGGCGCTCGGCGATGTATGCCCAGAGCACGGTCAGCGGGAAGAAGAGCAGGGTCACGATCGCCTCCCACACGAGGATCACGCCGGGCGTGAACACGGACAGGATGAGCCACAGCCACACGTAGGCGAAGATCGAGAAGAGGGCGGTCACGAAGAAGACGCGCAGGTGCCGGATCCTCCGCACCTCGCCGGCCGGAATCCAGATCATGCAGACGGCGATGATCATGAAGAGGTTATAGGCGGCGGATCCCACGATGGTGCCTGGTCCCAGGTCCCCGCTCTCGAAGTCCTTGGCGTAGATCTCGATCACCGAGAGCAGGATCTCGGGGGCACTCGACCCAAGGGCCATCAGCGTGAGATTGGCCACCGTCTCGTTCCAGATCCTCACGTGCATCACTTGCTTGGTGTTGTTGGGACCCTTGACCACTACCGCCCTTTCGATCGAGGTGATGGCCTCGATGGCGGCCATGAAGCGATCCGCGATGATGGAGACGCCCACGAACAGGTAGATCAGCAGCATGAAGTAGACGAAGCCGCGGATGAGCCGGTCGCCAATGGAAATGTTGCGCTGCGGCATCCACAGTGGCAGGACCAGGCCCTCGCTGCACTGGCGCAGCTCCTCCACATCTGGTGCGTCCACATTGGTCCTCTCCAGCTGCTTCATTTCGTCCTCCAGCTGGGACGGCGCCCCCTCCACGCCCTCCTCGCCGTGCACCACCTGCCTCGCCGGCCCCTGGGCCTGCACCTGCCTCAGCCGCCGGCTGAGGAAGTGGCCATCGTCCTGGCTGAGATTACTGCTGCTCTGGTCGTCGGCGGAGGAGGAGTGGGAGCTGATGTTGAGGTACGCCGCCTGCCGCGCCTGCCGCTCCTCGGTCTCGTGGACCTTCAGCAGCGACTGGGCGGTGGCGTACACAAAGATCACGAATAGTGCGCAGGTGAAGATCGACTTGAGGAGCAACTGCATGGCTGGTTATTGGCTGGGGATGGCTTCTCTCCTGATCCTGGAAGTGATGGGGCTCTCCAGTCCCGTTGGCCTGACTCTGGAAGCTTTGTTGCGTTCGATTTGGCTGTGATTTGTGCTGGTGCAGTTGCTGTTGCAGTTGCAGTTGCTTGTAGCTAGTTGCAATTAGTGTTGCTGCCGGGAGTGTTGCTAGTTGCTAGTTGCTTGTTGCTGGTTGCCAGTTGCTAATGACGGTGACTATGACGTGGGACCGCGAGAAGGCATTCTCGCAATGGCACGTTCAACACTCTGACGCAGTTGGGCCGCTGCACCTGCGGGAGGGGAAGGGAAGGGGAGAATCGTTAGTTAGTTGACTTGTGCCTATTCTGGGGCACCGATTTCGGGTGCATTGCATCACGAGTGTGTCGCCAGGCGCAATGCCACTGCGAAGGTTGCGAAAGCCCGCAAATAGTCGCTAGAAGAGCCCGCCCAGATCGCCAAAACGAGAGGCATGCATCAGCAGGGTGGTGCAAATAGGTTGGGAAATATGTTATTGTTGAATTTTAACCAGGATATATAGGTATATCTTATCCAAAAAGTGTTTAAAAAATTCTGGATTCATGACTTTAAACGAACTATTACGTAATAATGCCAAAAATGTTGCAATGCACTTATACCAATGCACAAAGTTCTAAAAACAACAATTACGATATCATTTTAAAACATTCATTGATTTTGGATTGCCCAGATCACCAAAACGAGAGGATGTATGTTATTAGTGAATTTTAGCCAGGATGTAATATCTAATCGATAAAGTATTTAAAAACCCGTAGATTCTTCACATTAAGCGAATGCCAAACATGTTGCAATGCCCTTATACCAATGCAAAAAGGTATATTAACAATAATTACGAATAATTTAATTTTAAAAAACATTCATTGATTTTGGATAAATATCTGGATCGAAAAATGCGTAAAGATAAAATTATTAAATACAGATTAAATAAATTTCGATTTTGATCAAAAATACCTCAAAATCTTTTAACAAAAACATTTATTTTATCTATTTAATTACATAAATTATCTACATTAAATAAGAATTCTATTTTAAACTGTCTTAAAAAACATTTGATAATTAAAAGCCACAAAAGAAATAAATTCTAATGAACTTGGAAATGATTGAAACTACTGTAAAAGTATTTCTTTGCTAGCCAAAACAACCCATTTAAATTATTTATTTAATGGCTTTTCGAACCAATATTCCCATCTTTTCACATAAACAAAACAATCTCCAACAAAATTTTAGAAATTAAATTTAATTAGAGTTTTTATTTTCCCCCTTTTGTGGGGGGCGTAGCTTTTCTTTGAGCTTCGCCAGGCAGTCGTTCAGCTGTTTTGTCTATTTACACGAAAACGAAATTAAATGCGTAAATAGACAGCATAAAACATAAACAAAAGTGCAGCTATAAAATTTGCCGGAGCAGACGCAAAACTAGAGGCAAACAAAGTTCATTTTCCGAGAAAATGAAAAACAGACCGAGTTGAAAATTAAACTGCAGAAAGTTAGCTGCAAATTGAATTGTAAACCGAAGGAGAGGAAAGTGCAGAGAAATGGGCTTGACCAAGATCGATAATATGTACATACGTGGGTACATAATTCTCGAATGTCAATAATGGGAACCAAAAACGGAACCAAAAACATCAACGTTTGGATGGCAACAGAAAGCAAACAAGTGACTGACAAGGCAGACCCAAGATAAATGCAGAAAATAAAGCAGGGGAAATCGAGTGAATTGCACATTTGCAGATAAAACTGTTGACAACTGAAAAAGGGGGGTGAAGACTTGTTTTACCAACTTTTATAACTTCAAATAACACGAAGTCGAGCAGGGGAATGCAGCGAAACGTTGGTAAAAACAGAACTTTATTTGCTAATGCAATAAACAAGAAAATTTAGATTAGAGATTTATTTAAAAAAAATCAGACACGATTGACCGCATATATCTTTAAAAGGTTTAAGGTTTAACAATAAATTCAAAGGTAATAAAGATTTATTAAAAAACTTATTAAGCTTTCCTTAAAATGTTTTTCAAGATTTTTGCAGTTTTTGAAACACGAATAAAAATCTCTTTAGTTATAGCTGTGTTATACAGGGTTTGCCAATCTTTTTAACTTTGTTTAGGTACGTTTTCTTGTATGCAAGTTAACTAGAAGTAGTTTTAACCCCCATTTCAATCAACAAGTATGTTAAACGACAAAACTAACTTTAGAATTATTAAAATAATTTATTTTGTAACCGGTTAATACGGAATCGTAATGTATTCTTCTGTTTTCTTCAGTGTCAGAAACGACTATTGCTTACAGAAGATATTTCTTCAGAAAATGAACCGACACTAGGAACTTTCCGTTTACAGTTCGCCGAGGTAAATTTTCCGTGAAAACATTTGCATTCAGTCCTATGACGTATCTATACTTGAGTTTCTCTGTTTTAATATGCACATTTGGATCACAGCACACTCATTCGGACGGCACAACACTTTGGCTCTGGCTTCGAAATCCAATAAATCAATATGCCCCACGGTTTATGGCGAAGGGGCTCAGATAATCATCAACGTTTGCATTAATTTAGCAATTACAACAAGAGCCGACAGCAGTGCCGATATAGATAGACAAAGAGCGGGACAGCCTGATGGGGAGCGAGGGAGATGGAGGACAGCAGGGAGCAGGGAAATGGGAAATGGGAAATGGGGGAAGGGAGGGAGAAAGCGGTGAAAGTAAATGAAGATGAGACACACAGACGCCCCTGGGAGCACGGAACATATGCTGGGCAAGCGTTCCAATTTCTCCTCTCCGTTTTTCATTCCGGCGGTAAATTGCATTTGGCCATTATTGGAAAATGGTTGCACGTCGGGTTAAAAGATTGCGAATTAATTAAAAAGCTTTGCCCCGGGCAAAGAGTGCAGCTCCCACGTTCCTTACATTTCTCCGCTTATCAAATGCACCGAACTCTGATTTTTCAGCCAGCCCTTGCACTCGTTAAAGTAGAACTAAAATTAACACGGATTTTTAAAATTAGCACAAACAAAAAATAATATAATCGTCTGGCGATCGAACGCGCCGCGTTTCACCAAGGACTGCGACTGAGAATGCAGCTGAGCGAATATGAAAGAGTATGAACGTGGGAACGGGAATAGAAATGCAGAGAGAGAAAATATTGGTTCTTAACAAAATCTCTAAATCTTTTATTGGATTTCAATAAAATCCCAAAAAATATCTTATTTATATAAGGTAGGGCATTTGTAAATTACCTATTAACCAGAGAATAAATAAATAAAACAACTTTCTTTGAATTCCATTTCCAGCCATATTAGATGAGTCATAATACGATTTCCTGCCATACTGGATTAGTCTGAAAATGTTTTCATGAAATCTTAATTAGATTTAGGCCTAATCTAATATTGATTTGATAAAAAATAGTGATTGCTGAAAGTCTGATTTAATAAAAACATTTTCACATAAAATACAACGTCTATGGACTACTATTCTTAAGTGGTATTTCAAGGAGCAATACATTTTATTTTGGAAAAACATACCCTTTAACAATCTATTATTGTAAGAGAAATTTTTCAAATACTAAATTTTAGCCACTAAAAAATTACATGAGCAATCTTTAGAGTTCAGATTATTATAAGTTCCAAACAAGTACTCCAAAGCTGGGGTCAGTTGGTTTTAAAATTGCTCAACGCTTTATATAACTAGTTCTTTCGGTACTGTTGTTTTTTCTAAAAGTGCAAGTATTAAAAACCATATATTAAAAATTGAGTTAACGTTATGATTGATGTGCATTTCCCCCTGTGTAGAAATGAGAGCGGGAAAAGATGAGCGGGGCAAGCGATAGAACGGCATTTTGTTTACGTTGCGCTGGCGCTGTTACGTTGTAACATACATACATATGTACGTTTGTGGATACGTTTTCGACGGTCTGAAGTCGATCCAATTTTTCGGTTTGGTTCCAAGTTCAAGGAGCATTCCCGTTCGAAATCGTCTAGTAAATCAAACACAACACGGCTAATTGGCTGCTAAGTAATTCCCCGTACAGATGTTTTTATGCAGTTTAGTGGTTCGTCAGCTGGCACAGATTTGGGATTCCATTTTTTCGCGATTCGCAATCGCATTTGGCAGCCAACGCACGACTAAATCCACTGCCAGAATCCCCATATTACCACCTGTCTGTGCGCCTCTTTCTCTGCTTTCTCCCTTTCTCTGTCGGCATTTCTCTTTGTCATGTCTGTGTCCCCCATTTCATAATTATTTGGTGTGCACGGCTTTTGCTTTTGTTCTGTGCTCGGTGTTTTTTCGGTCTTGCCCGCCACACCACCTACATACGATGGGAAATCGGGCGAACTCAGACACGGAAAATATGGCAAAAAATGGGTCGGAAAAAAGCTATCATCCCAGCTGTATCGCTGAAATGTCAATGGTGCAATTAAAGAGAAATACGAGTTTTTCAAAGAACAAAAAGTGTTTTTATAACGTTGTGTGATTTAATGTATGTGGTATATTTTTAAGTAAAAACCCGATAATGGCAGCTCATTTTTAAGTACTTATAAAGCTTATCGCTTGTGTAATATGTCTCATTCTGAGAAATCACTTCCTATATGTATACGCAATTTCACAGAGAAAAAGTGTATCATAAGTAGAAATGTACATTTCTAAATTATAGGAAAATATCTTTTTATAGAATGAATGATGTTAATACACATTGTAACATTTTTATTTTTTGTTATTTCTACTTCCTAAAATAAACGGCCTTCAGAAGTAAATGCATAAGTTCCCCCTTTTATTATTAACCATTCGGTTGAGCTCTCAATCAAGCGAACGTCCCTTTTTTCTGGTTTGTTTATTATTGTCTGAGGTATTCAGCCAAGTTTAACAAAATGCAGGCAATCATTTTGGTAGCCATGCAAATGCTGTGCTAATTTTGTTGACCGTGTGGCTCGTCATTTCAAAAACACTTTCATCGTGAACAAGAGACGCCTGCAGAGACCCAATATGCCGGGCAGACATGTGAGGATTACAGCATCTCATGTGGATATCTAAACATATATGCTAGGTGGCCACACATAATTTATTCGCATATTTTCCGTCTCCCAGCTAAGCGGCTTTCCGTGCGCATTTCATTTCTATTCCCACACGGCGTCATGAGCATACAGAAGTGGTCAAAATACTAGCACAGCAGATGGAAATCTACAACTATCATATTCCAGGTGTTATAACAATAATATTTGTGCCCTTGCAGAGGGTATAATGATTTTAGTCAGAATTTTGCAACGCAGTGAAGGAGACGTTGCCGATCTCATAAAGTATTTATGTTCTTGATCAGCATCACTAGAGGAGTCGATCTAGCCATGTCCGTCTGTCCGTCCGTTTCTACGCAAACTAGTCTCTCAGTTTTAAAGCTATCGGACAGAAACTTTCCCAAAAGTCTTCTTCGGACAACTATATCTTATAGATTCCATAGGAATAATAGGAAAAAATTTTTTTTTAATTATATCTTTGGTGTTTTTTTAACATATAACCTCCTACGCTTGGAAATATCATTTTTAAATTAGTTCTGAATTTAATTTAATCAAAATCGGACGACTATATCATATAACTGCCATAGGAATGAAAATTGGTGGGAAAATATTGGGAATATCATTTTTTGTATTTTTAAGAATTTCGAATTCAATTTAATAGTTATAACTGCAAGGGTACACAAGCTTCGGCTTGCCGAAGTTAACTTCCTTTCTTGTTTTGTATAATATTCATGTTTGCCCCTTAAAGAGCTTTTTGAATTTATATTGGAGAATATTGGGGCAGCTCATATCTCTTACTTTAGCGATATGCCGTTGCGAGCATGAAAACTTTTGGGAGTGGCTTTGTTTACACCATAATCTAATCAGCGTCGTATACCATTTCAGAGGGCTTTTGGCTCATTTGTCATTCGAACTTCGAAAGAGACCGACGCCGCTAATCCGTGCTCCCGTAATTTTGGCTTGTTTATTACGTTAACATATTACTTTTTATAATAGTGAAAGGTGATTTTCCATTAAAACAAATATATTGATAAACTCAAAGAAACATTACTGTTTTGTGTTCTTAAACTGGTTGTTGTTATTGATTATTCTGCTTTAAAGACTTGCCTACACAACTCTAAAAATGTTGATCTGCTGCATGGATAACTGCGAATTCAACAATATAATCAGTAGTGACGATGAGAATGTTAGGTGCTGGCTCTGTGACGAATATGCCCATATCAAGTGCGCAGGCATATCTGAAAATATACTGGACCTAATGGAAATGAAAAGTGGTCTCAAATGGTCCTGTGAAGACTGCAGAGTGATAAAGTCCCAAATGGGAAGGTATATGAGGCAAACACGAATGGAAATCAGTGAGCTCTTCAGCGAAGTTCGAGCTGTTCATGAAAAGTATTTGAAATTGGAATCTGCCTTTTCATCTCGTAAGAAGCTTAGCTTTTAAAAATTCGTCTTTTTAAGAACCTAATTATTGTTCAATAGATTTACTAGGTTGTCAGATGTCTTCTGTTTCTGGGGACACTGTTTCGCAGCCAGTGAAACAAGATAAATCGAATTCTGGGGATACTGTTACTGAGGAGAAAATTAAATTTGCGGAGACATTAGATGTCGCACATTCTGGATATGCTACTGTGAAGGAGCCTTCGGTTAATAACTGGCATCAAAATTCGGCTCCTGTGGCACTACCCATTATACCTATCCCTGATATCCTGAGAGCGGTTCCTCCAATGAAGGCTGTCTTCGTCTCCAGGCTTACCACATCAACTACTGAGGACGCCCTTAAACACTACATAGTTGCAAAACTTTCTTATCCCGATCCCGATGACATAGTTGTTAGAAAAATATATAATAAACAGAGACGAAAGATTTCATCGTTTAAGGTCCTGGCACCTGATCTCATATATAACAGGATCTTAAGTCCTGAATTCTGGCCAGATCATATTGTTGTGCATGAGTTCCAAAAAAAACATGATCTTAAAACAAATAATTTGTAATCCCAATATATTTTTTGTTCAGGCTTACTTTTAAAAATTTTAATTTAATTTTAATAGAAATAAAATTAAATGATTACTATAGTTATAATAAGCTCCTTTTACCTATACACAAGTTAGGGTTTTAGCTTAACAATCTCTCCTAGTTTTCATTAAAATACAATGTTTGTATTTATACACAATGCTCTAATACTGATTTTAATAAAATATATTGATATAAACCCTTAGAAAATCTCAGTTTATGGTTCACCAACTCTCACTTGTAGTATGGGATTCACTTTAAGGTGTTAACCAGAACTTTGTACAGTGGTTCTACTATTCCGACCGCCCCTGTAAATAGTCTTGGAGTATCTCACTCGCGACTCTAATGCACACAGAAGAGAAATGCTGCGGGATTTGTCTCCAGGGATACTCACTCCGGGATGGGATTGACTCTACTCTAAGAGGCAGTGGGAAATCGGGACTTGACGGGAACGCTGAACTGAACGCTGGAGACTCAAGAGTGGATTGTAGAACGCCCCGCAGTTCGTTTCAGGCGTGACAACACATAGTTTCGCCCGCCCGTGGGGTGGGTGGCCTTCGCTCGCTTCCTGGCAAGCAACTGAGCCACAGTACTGCCGCTCAGCCAGGTGCGCCGTACTGGGGGAATAGCGGTATGTGCCGGTGTGGGTGGGCGTTGCAACACGATGGGCGTGGCCCGATCACTCACCTGGGGATCCGGTTTCGGTCCTTTCGGTGTTTGACTCTTGGGGAAATCGTTAGCTCTGTTTCGATTTTGATTTTCATGAAGTTTAAATCAGAGCATTCGCACTCGCATTCGGATCGCGTGTAGTCTAATCAAATTGCCACTTTGGCAGTCGCAGATATCAGCTGGCTTTTTACTCAGTTGCTGTCCCCTCGCTCGATCGTATATAAGGTACATATTTGGTATATGACGCACGGAGCGGCCTCAGATACGGTGACTCGATAGGGAGAAATACAATAGTGGGTCCGAAGCACCGGCGATAAGTCGGGCAATTACGGTTGTGCGATCACACCTGATGGCCGCCCCTCATCTTGATAGTCTCGTTTTCTGGATCGCGGTGTTATATGTTCTAGTTTGAATGGAAGATAATACGCACTGCCTGATAGCTACTATCAAGGCATGGACTTCAAGATACTATCTGCAACTGTAAATTTAACCATTGGCTAGGGACCTAACAGATATTGCGACAAAATAATCTCATGGCTATGTTCCAGTTTGAATTGAAGACAGTTAGCTCTATTTGATAGCAATTACACATTTGTATAGCAGTTTGAATAGAAGATAATACGCACTGCCTGATAGCTACTATCAAGGCATAGTCTTTAAGATACTATCCGCAACTGTAAATTTAACCATTGGCTAGGGACCTAACAGATATTGCGACAAAATAATCTCATGGCTATGTTCCAGTTTAAATAAATGATAGTTGGCACTGCTTGAAAACAATTATCACTTCATGGACTTGAAGATACTATCTGCAATTACACATATGTATAGCCATTGGCTAAGAACCCAACAAATATTGTGGCAAAATAATCTCTTGGTTGGGAATGTGGGTTAAAAAAGTTACCGAATTAAATATTTATCCTGAGCTAAAAGTGTCCTCAACATGCAAACGCACGAATCACTGGGCAAAACCTGACATTTTACCGAGATTTAAAGTCCTTCGGTGAAATCGCAAATCGAGGGAAATCTGCCAGTAAATGTGTCTGCACACTTTGCTCAAGCCATAAATCGCTTTGGCAGATATGGTACGCTGCAGTTTGTTGTATCCTTTGTGGGGGCTTTGTTTCAGGGACTAGATTTGTCAGGCTTCCGTGACAGAGGTATTTAGATTCGTTATGCTAACAAGGGAATGTTTGACAGGTTTCGGTGTTCAGTGTTCAGTGTTCGCCGGTCGGTGTTCGGTGCTCGGTGCTCGAATCCAGGGACGTCAAATGACATGTTTAATACGGGACCGAGTGGGAACAGTTGGCGATGTCAGCATATTTTAGCCCCCTACACTCCCTTTTGCTCCCCGGTTATTGGCGACATTTTGATATTGTCCTTGTTGCTGGAGCTGCGACGTTATAACAACAACTTTGATGACGGTCGTTATACGAATCGTCGATTTGAAATGCCTTCTTGTCACAAAACTTGTGAGTGGTATGGTTTGGTATATGGCATGGTACACCCTTATCTGGTGCGAATGTGAGTGTGTGTGTGTAAGCGGTGGTGCAGATGTGTATCATTTTGTGTTGACAGTTGAACGGCCACGCCCACACCGCCCTGCATTTTCACGCCTGTTGTGTGCTGTCGGAGCGTAAACTGTTTATTATTTAACAATATCCCTTTTTTATGTCTCGCGCTGTAAGGATGTGAGCGGGTGTGTGAGTTTTGAGCATTCTTATTTATTTATAACTGTATTTCACACTTCTGCAAGGATACGCACACAAAGCCGAGCATAAATCTCCGTGTTAAGACTTAAATAGTCGGGCGTTTAGCGAAAGTCGCCGCACTGGGGGAAAAAAATCTGGAATACAATTAAGATGAACACATAAAGTGTGTTTTTACAATTCATAAAATGTGTTATATTCAAAGAATAAATAATTTGGAAATCCTATTTTCAAACTGTCTCAGTAAACTCTAAGTTCTCATTAAAATAAGACGACAATATATAATACAGTAGTTTGTCAAATGTTTGCTTAGTTCAGGCGACCTTTCTACTCTTTAAGAAGTTTTTAGCAAATCGAGGTGTCTTATATAATATTTTGCCATGAAGCTACCGTTTTTCTTTTAAATTTTTAGTAGGCATTTAATCAAGGATTAAAAGTTAGTTAATATATTATACAATTAGTAGAAGTGCTTATTAACCTATTTAACATCCTTTATAAAAATGAATTTGGAACACCATTTTGGAAAGATTTAATACCTATGTATGATTATACGTCGGATCTAATCTAAATAAATATTCTTTAAATACGATTTTCAGCCACATTTGATGGTGAAAACGTTTTTCCAAAACCATAATTAGATTTAAACCGAATCTAATCGTAATCAATCAGAAATCGCTGCAAACGAAGTTTAAGTAAAAGCGATGAACATTAAAATCCAACCACTTCTTAAGATATTCCTCACGATAAAACCATAATATTGACTATGATATCTTGAAATTGGATTGCTATTTTTCTCCCTGTAAGTCTGTTTGAAAGTGTTTGGGCGTGAGTGGGCGTGGCATGCCACTTGACTGCGGAGTGGACGCAACGCAACAAGGCGCAAATTCCCGTATCGCCGGAAACAGGCTTTTAGGCAGTCCGCCTGAGAGTAGACTACACATTCCCGGCCGTATCTCAACTTCTACGTGTGTGAGTGCGTTTGAGCTAGTGTGCGGCAGATAGGCGCAGATGCCTGTCGGTCTGTCAATTATGCGTGGCCCTATCTGCCTTGGAGGCCCCGCACCCACAGCCACACCCACATCCCTGGTCAATGGCAATCAGGCCGGGCAATCAAGGCCAGTACCCAGGCAGTATCGCATATCCATCGCATCGCATCGCGAGCAGCCATCAACTATGGCTGGCATTGACATTGATTTGATTTCAAATCGCTTGAACGTTAAATGTCAGCATTCCGCAGAGGATGCCATTTGCCAGGGAGTGCACTATATAGCTATACAGCGGCACTCTCGTTTAGATGCAATAAAAACACGCGCACAAAAGGTCATTAGGGGATTTTCTTATATCTGGGAAAACAATCCAAGAACCTTGGCACATACATATCTGCCTTAGTCACGTCCCGCTTTGACTAATAGTATTTTCTTGTAGAGCTTCCTCTGTCCCGAAACAAACATGCAGTCATCTAGCCGAAGTTAATGCCAGTTGTCAAGCAAATATAAACACAGTCACAGTCGCAGTCGCAGTCACTTCTCTTTCGCAACAGCGAGTCTCAGACAAAGCGCTATCATAAATAATAATTAACAGTGCTCTCTAAACAAGCCCCCAGGCCATTAACTTGGAAGATATACGGGTTTATATACTACCCAAAGCACTTGTCATAGTTTTCTTTACTGCTTTACAGTTCTTAAAATTTAAAATAATAATAATATTCCCAGAGATAAGCCCGCGTTCGTTGAATAATCGCCCAGCTTGCTAGCAGTGTCAAATAGTCGAGTTTTCGGGGAGGATATTATCACTTGCGGGCCATGATTTAGGTACCGAAGCGAAACCAGATGGAGTTGGGAAATAGAAAATAGAAAATGGGAAAGCAGCTGCGTGTCGCATAAATATATGTGCGTGTGGATGTGTCACCAGGATTCTATTGATTTTCCAGACCCAAACTCCAGGCGGGGGTTGCTCAAAGCGGAGAAGTCGAGGCCCTGACATGCCAAAGTTGGTTTAGATAGCGTTGTTAAAGTTGTTCGCCATTGCCATATCAAGTGGGCGGGTGGCACAAACTATTTGCTGCGGTCGGGCTCTTCTTGCCTTTCCTTCCGCAGGGGTTTCCCCAATAGAGTTTCTCTTTTGGAAAAACTTTAACTGAAACAAGCATGCCAGTTGTGTTTGCCAAAGAGTTGCCACTGGACTCGACAATTTGCCGTGTGTCATCAGCAGCAGGTTTCCCCAGAGCTCCCGGTTGATGATGGTCGATGGCTGATGGATGGTTGGCCAGATGTTTGCCCAGGGGCAGGAAAAAACTAGCCATCGGTCAGTGCATCAATCAATCTTTTAATGAATGAGAGTGCTGACGCAGCGCTTGATTAAGTCGTGACCAATCAGCAAAGCAAACATTTTGCCAAGTAATTTTAGTGTTTTTTTCGATTTTCCACTGATTTGTAGTGTGTTTGCTCCCCATAGCCAATAAGGACTGTACAGCTTTGGCCATTGTCATGTAATTTGGTTGCCTGCCTTGGCATGAAAACGGCAACAAAGTTGCAGGCTGCCTCCAAATCGCTGGAAAAAATCACATTATCCCATAGCCATCATCATCATCGTCGTCGTCGCCGTTATCATCGTAATAATCT